CTTCTGGCCTTGAACAGTTTTGCCGGACTCTCCTTGGTAGTAGCATGTGCGGCATTTCGGTATTGTAGTAGGAAGTTATCTAGGAGTGTCTCCAATTCTACAATTGTCCTCGGATTCGCAGAAGCTATGGCACTCTTCACCGTTTTCACCAGGTTTTCCGCTGCACCGTTCGAACAGGGGTGACGTGGTGCTGTGCGTAGATGTCGGCAGCCAATACTGTCCAGCCATGCCTTCAATTCCGCAGCACAGAATTGCGATCCGTTATCAGTCACAAAGACTTGTGGGACACCTTCTCGACTGAAACACTTTCGTAGTACTCTCATCACGAACGACGTGGTTGGTGTGCTGGTTAGGAATACTTCCGGCCATTTCGAGTAGGAATCAATGAGTACTAGTGCGTGGTACTGACCGAGAAATGGTCCGCAGAAGTCGGCATGCACGCGTTGCCATGGAATGCAGCTCTCTGGCCATGGTGCCCAATTTTTCGGTTTTGACTTCTGTTTTTGTAGACACGCGTCGCAGTTTTTAGCAGTTCGGCTGATGTCTTCATTTATACCAGGCCACCAACACATCTGTCGCGCCAACGACTTCATCTTTTCCACCCCCAAGTGGCCCTTGTGCAGATCTTCTAGCACTGCCTTGCGCAGCGGAGGTGGAATAATCAGTCGATCGTTACGGCAGAGTATTCCATCAGGTTGTACGCTGATTTCTTCCCGATGTGCGTAGAATGCCGCGAACTTGCGTTTTACGTCCGGACGCCATCCTTTCGATAGTGCGGTGATGATTGCTGCATAGTATCGTTTGGTGTATCGGCGTAGTTCCTCTCGTGATACCGGGGAGGCAGTAGCAATGAAATAGCATTTCTTGGCCGCCGCGAATTTGGACCATCGTGAGAGAAAGTCTGCTTGAGGAATTGTTTTGCCCGGCCGGTGCACAATATCATAGTCGTATGCAGCTAATGCTATACTCCATCGTTGGATCATTGCCGCCGTCGGTTTATAAATCGACTTCAGTGGGCTGAATATGTATTGTAGGGCTTGATGGTCAGTAACTATGGTGAAGCGCAGTCCCACAAGGTATTTGTGCAGGCGTCTGACGGCCCAGTAGACAGCCAACGCTTCTTTCTGCGTTTGCGAATATCCTCGCTCTGCTGCATTCAGTAGACGAGAAATGCAGATAATTGGACATCCATCTTGTTCGAGTACAGCACCAATGCCCACGTCTGATGCGTCGGTGATCAGAGTTGGACGTTTCGTCGGAGAGAACGAGGCGAGTACCGGTCGGTTTGTTATCATCTGTATGGTTTCACGCAGAATTCGTTCACACTCGGCCGTCCATTTCCAGTCTGCACTTGACTGGGCAGCAAACAGCGGTTGAACTTTTGTGGCGAAGTTAGGGATGAAACGCGAATAGTATTGGAGGCATCCCATGATGGATCTGAGTTGGTTTTGGTCCCTTGGTGACTCCAATTCAGTCAGTGGACGAAAGCGACTTGGATCAGGGCGGTAGCCTTTTTCATCAACTGTGAAGCCTAGGAACTCCAATTCTGGGGAACTGAACATGCACTTGGAAGCACGAATTGANTGAAGGTAGGCATCAGCCAAGTCAATCTTCGAAAAATATGTGCTACCATGTAAAGCTTTCATGAAATCTTCTGGTTCCATGGTAGTAGTCGCACACTTTCGCAGCCGGGGGTTGAGTGTTAGTCTGTAGTCACCACAAATTCTTGGTGTCTTACCATCACTTTTCATTGCGATCACAATTGGTGTTGCCCACGCGCTGGATGTTACTCGAGTGAGGATGCCGTCATGCTCCATTTTCTCAAGAGCTTTCAATACACCTTCACGTTGGCCATAGGGAATGACACGGCGTTTCAAAAAGACAGGTTCTCCCTCAACTTCCAGTTTGGCCGGTCGAACTTTCATGCCTCCTGTGTTATTTGAACATTGCACAATCAGTCGCTGTAGACGGGTGTGCACATTGGGCAGGGAACTCGTATGGAGCGATATAGAATGGTTCAGAGCGCGAATTGCAGTTAGGCCAAGTATGGATGGACTCTTTTTCGCAATAAGGAAGCGGATTGGGACAAGGCGATTTTCTGTTGAGTGAACCATCAATGAAACCTCGCCAATCAATGGTAATTGGTGTCCAGTTACACCAAGAATTCGCACGGATGTCGGTTGAATTTTTGCTTGGGGGCATATGGATCGAAGCACAGCATTAGAAATAATAGATTCCTTACTTCCCGTGTCAACAATAAATTTGTGAGTTGTACCAGATTGTAATGTCAAATCTCGGTACAGAAATTGGGTGGCTGGGCCTTCAGAACGTAGAGAGAGCACCAGGTGTGTGTCGTTTGAAGCATTTGGCTGTGTAAGATTGCAACGAGTTTGTTTACATACTCTCCGAATGTGGCCAATTTTTCCGCGGGCATGACATTTGGCATTACGAAAGCGGCAATTGGAGCGTAGGTGGTGATCTCCACAGGACAAACATGGATTGATTCGTTTTTCGTTACCTGGGGAATCTTTCCGCGGCTTTGGTGCACGTTTGGCCGTTTGAGGTCGATTGGATAGAGTCTTCTGCTGTTGGAATAATGTGACTGCTTCGTTGGAAGTAGCCTTCATCAAGTCATCATGCTATTCACAAATTTTCCGGGCTTCGGCAAAAGTTAAATCCTTCTTCTCCAGTAATTTGCGTTGCAGAGTGAGATTGTTGATGCCCGCTAACAAACGGTCACACATCTGTTCTTTCAAACGATCGCCGTGGTTGCAGCGTGATGCCTGTCTGTTTAGCTGCAGGATAAAATCACGGCAAGACATGTGGTCAGCACGGATCATGGAATTGAATTTAGCACGTTTGTGGGCTTGGAATTCAGTAGGCAGGTGGTTGAGCAGGAGCGATTTCAAGGATTCGTATGGTAGTTTGGCGGGAACCTCGGGGAATGCCAGGTTTTTCAGCAGCGAATACAGATCACGGCCGCCAGCAGTGAGGAATGGAGCCGATTGGTTCTGCATACCAATTTTCGAATACTGCACTACAGTTCGAATCGCTCTACCCATTCCTCATTCTCGGATGGACTGACTTGCAGGTTCAATTGTTCAATAATTGGAAGCTCCATTGCGCGACACCAATTTGTAGTGGTAGTGAAAGTAGTAGTAGTGAAGTTACGCACAGAATCCAGGACATGAACTACGCAATAGGAATCACGGAACACGAATTAGAAAACCGATGGCACTGGACCGCAATGGCTCGAACTCGCAATAACCCGCAGGATCGAGACGCGAGGAAAAAGGCCACAAGACAGGCGAATCACAAAGTCATTTATTGAAGGAAATGAAAGTGAATATATATGTACACAAGAAAAGATCATTGGCTACCTTAGTTTCCACCAATCATATTGCATCACATTTTGCGTCATACTGCTCTTCTCTGCATTGTATCTGATTGCCTGGAACGGTGCACCAATGACGTGTATTCGGAGACTGTGCACGTGCTACTGGCATCAGCGCTCAAGGTTGATTGACTACCAAAGTCCGGAAACTGTACCGCGCTGCTCCAGGGCAGGCGTGATCTCTTAGATCCGAATCACCACAGTTCGCCAGGGCCACATCGTAAATCTTTGAGTTTACAACCTGAATGAACATCTCCTCGATATCAGCCGCTACCACAACTGACCCCAGACGAAACCTGCACATCACCTCAATCAGCGGAGTAGTCAGGTCTGAGCCTTGTAGTGGACGGTCATTTAGGGCAATCCCGGCACACTTGGCATCACAATCGAAGACAACCGGGATCTTCTGGGGTTTCTTGGGGTTTATGACAGGGTAGTGCGGAAGTTACCACAACTTCGACTTCTATCATTGCGCGCTCGATTTATTCCAACTCTAGATTGCGTTTCATGGCGTTACAGTACGCCTCCTTCAACTGTGCGTTGCAGAAGACCCGAGGTTTTTGTACCGTTGTACAAAACTATAGTGCGTTCCCATTTAGAATATTGCGTACAGGCATGGGCGCCTTATTTTAAACAGGACAAACGCTGTCTTGAGAAAGTACAGCGCTTAGCAACCAGAATGGTGGCAGACCAGAAAGATAAGGGATACCTCCAACGACTGAGGAATCTAGACCTGTTCGCCCTGGCCCGCAGACGCATGCGGGGCGACCTTATAGGGACATTTAAGATTGTCAAAGGGCTTTCGGGTCTAAAATTCCAAACCTATTCTCGTTTGTTCCTGCCAGGAGCACGAGGGGACATCAACTTAGATCGGAAAGAAGTCATTGTAGATTAAATCTGTGAGCAGAGTAATACCACTGTGGAATAAATTACATGCAGCAGTGGTTAATTGTATTAGTGTCGAATCTTTCAAGAGAAGGCTAAATGAATGATGGGCAGTGGTATTTCCCGAAGTTGAGTGTTGAAAGTTGATCGTTAGGCTTTACTTTCTGAAACACTGTAAGGGATCTGATACTGCACACCAACATTCTGCCTTTCAGAAACTACTATTGAATCGAAGTTTTGGGAGCCAACGAAGCCGCCGACAATACAAGGAACTAGACGCGCAAGAGTCACAATTCATCCTGTAAGAACTGAACTGAAATATTATTCGGGTTACCTTCCCATAAATAAGAGGAAATAAAAAAAGTAAATGACTTTTTTTAACTAGTTGAAACCCCACAAACCGATTTTGAGAAAGTAGTTCCCCGAAATTCATCATTTTGAGGTTTTGACCCCTGGTGACTCTTCGGTGACTGTGGAGCGTACACCTGTGCTGCCTGGGTCGATTGGCCGTGGCCAACTCCTGTTCTGTACAAACTGACTGGCTGACTCGAAGTGTTGGAAGCCAACGAAGCCGCCGACAAGGAACTGGACGCGCGATTAGCAAGAGCCACAATTCGTCCTGTAAGAACTGAAATGAACTGAACAACAATCTACCCGCATTGGTCGTGAGCCAGCTGGATAGACAAGTAGCATCACCATGTATCATAGCAAACAAAAGGAGGTCTGACTCCGTAACAAAAGGGCGTTCTAAGTCCACAGATAGTATCACAAACGCCAGAGAGCGCAGACCACCAACGTTAGAAAAAAACGTGAGAAACCCTCGGGAATAGACCCCGAGGGCGTGCCCGGCTCTTCCTCAAAAAGAAAGGAGTCACACTATATAAGCGGCTTCATGACGAATGCGTGCAGCATAATAAATGAAAGGGACAAGCTGGCCATCTTACTTGCAGAGGTAGAGTTCACCGTAATAACAGAGACATGGATCTCGGAAGGCATTGAACTGGGTCGTATAAGTAACAGCTTCCCTACTTACATGTCAGACAGACCTAAAGGAATTCAGGGAGGTGGAGTAATTTTGTTAGTCAAAGACCACATTAAACAGGCACTAATCCTACCCACCTACAAATCCGAAAATGTCCAACTGGTAGCATGTTCGATAGGTTTTCCGGCAGTACGAACCCTGGTAGGAGTGTACCAAAGCCCTCGCACGACGCCGACCGAAAGCGTTGAGCTGATTGATAAAATTCTAGACCTGATAAAGACTCCCCTCCGACTATGCATCATGGGTGAATTCAACACCTCAGGGACACACTGGGAAACCGAAACCAATGACGGCCCCGGCTTCGAAAACCAGTAACTAGAACTGTTGCACGAAAGCCGCTTTCATCAGCACATCACGTGGCCAACCAGATTCAGAGAAGAGCAAATCCCGTCGACCCTAGATTTACTGGTTATGCGGAGCGAAAGCGAAGTCCGAAATCTACTCCGCGGGAATCTACGAGGAAAAAGTGATCACATCGTGATCCATTTCGGCCTTATGCTGAAGGTTCCCGCGCCACGAAGTAGGGTAGCTAGGTTATACAGTAAAATCGACAACGTCGCGCGTGAACTCAGTTGCGATACCGATGGCACATCAGCCACGGAGCCAATGTGGCAGGTCATCAAACAAAACATAATTAGGTTGACAGATAGACACACGCCGTCAACAGAGTTAAAAAACCAAATGCTGAAGCCCTGGTTTACGGCTAAATTGCGTAAGGCGTTACAGAAACGTAACGCTGCCTGACACAGATACACAGTGCTAGAAAAATTCGCAAACTGGTGACAGTGCACAGGGCTAGGAAACAAAGCGGTCAGCATATCGAGATCAGCCCGAAGTTAGTATGAAATAAAACTGGCAAGGGACATTAGAACACAGCCAAAGAAGTTCTATAGATATGTCCAATCGCAAGCTGGGTCCCGAAAGGCGATAGGTTCGCTTATGCGTTTAGGGCCAACAACCATAGACACGGACCAGGGTATTGCAGACATTTAAAGACCACTTCCAGACCATCTTCCGAGTAGGGACGATGGTAAAAAACCTCACAAACGTGGATATTGCAGGCCCATGCAGCTTTAGCTGGAGCATAGAGCACGGCGAGGTCCTATCTGTGATCTCCGGACTCAACTTAACGAAATCCGCCCAGCACCTAGCGGTGTTAAAACAACTGGCACCGGTAATCACTGAACCTTTAACATCATTGTTCAATCAGTCGATGTCAACAGGTATAGTGCCGGCCGACTGGTTCAGAGCTACGATTTCCCCTATCCAAAAGAAAGGGGATGCAGCCAATATAGAAAACTATCGACCAATTAGCTTAACCAGCACCGTTTCCAAAGCAATGGAGCGGATAATAAGAAAAAAACTAGCAGAGCACCTAATAGGTGTGCACTTCTTTTCGAAAGCACAGCACGGATTCCTCAAGGGTCGATCCTGTCTGACCAACCTATTAGTCTTTCTAGACGAAGTAACTAGCAGGTTAGCCAAAGGAGAAACAGTCGAAGTTTGCTACCTAGACTTCCAAAAAGCGTTCGACTCCGTTAACCGAATGCTGTTACTACATAAATTAAGGGGTACAGGGGCTCCAACCCAGGTATGTAACTGGATTGCCAGTCTGCTCCACGATCGCACACACCAGGTGAAAATACGATCCACGATCTCCAGTGAAGGGGAAGCGACCAGTGGTGTCCCCCAGGGGTCAGTAATAGGACCACTCCTCTTTCTAATATTTATCAACGACCTTGCCGAGGAGGTCGCAAATCCATGCCTCATCTACGCCGACGACGTTAAAATAGTTGGCGGCTCGTCCAGTCATCAACCAATACAAGACGACTTAGACAGGCTCTCAGCGTGGATGGTAAGATGGGACTTGCCTTTGAACGCTGTCAAATGTTGTGTCCTAAGCAAAAATGCTCCGGAAACCCCCTGCGGCTCACGCTCCCAAATCAAGTAGCTCATGCTCTGAAACATTAGAAGTGTGTCAAGGATCTTGGGATTACAGTTCCAACCAGCTTTACACCTAGTGAACATTGCGCCGAAGTAGCCCACAAGGCCAGGAGAGCGCTCTCTGCACTCAGAGCTGCAATAACCATCAGAGAAGCCGATGTATTCATCCCTCTGTATAGGGCACTCGTCAGACCCCACCTAGAATACGATGTATTCATCCATCTGTATAGGGCACTCGTCAGACCCCACCTAGAATACTGCGTCCAAGCCTGGGCTCCCTACCGAGTAGTGGACGTAGACAGGTTAGAAAAAGTGCAACGGTTAGCAACCAGAAGGGTTTGCAAAACCAAAGGACTATCCCACGAAGACCGGCTTCGGCACCTGAACCTCTTCTCTATGAATAGGAGACGTTTGAGAGGAGATCTGATCGAAGTCTTCAGACAAATGAAGAAC